TAACAATTAACAATTAAATAAATGTTGATGTATAGATTATGTTTAAACAATTAACAAATGTTGATGTAATTAACAATTAACAAATGTAGATGTAATCAAATGTTGATGTATTAAAACATAATTTAATAGATGTTAAATAAATATACATGTTGATGTACAGATGTTGAAATAATTTAATAAACATGTTGATGTACAAATGTTTAAATGTTTAAATAAAACATAATTTAAATAAATGAAATTATTTATTGTTGAAATTAAACATTTAATTGTTTAAATAAAACATCTATTAAAACATCTATTAAATTTAAATAATGAAATTAAATAAAACATAAACAAAATTTTAAAATAAAACATCAATAAAATATCTATAAAAAATTATTTTAAAAAATTAAATAAATAAAACATTAATAAAAAGTTAAATAAAATTATTTTATTTTTAAATTGAGACATTTAAATTTTATTAAATTTTATTAAATATAATACATAATTAAATAGTAGAGGGTCAAAATTGTCATTTTCGCATCTAATCCAAACAGTGATTAGTCCCTCCAAAACAATCCCACCCCCTCCCCCAGGACAGGATAGTCCCCCATATGGGGGACATGGAGTCCGGCCGGACATGGAGTCCGCCAGACTAAAAAAAAATCAAATGACGGATAAGGAGCATTATTTGGATTGTAATCCAAATAGTGGATAGTCCCCCCCTCCAATCCCACGAATCAAACACGCCCTTAGTGATTAGTATTTCTGATCCACAGCTAATTAGTATAACAATTTAAGAACATGTATAACCACTTAGAATAGTAGTTTTATGACCCTTTTTTTTTTTTGGTGTTAGTAGAACAGTCAAAATTTAGTCTTTTAGCTCTAGTTAGATCTAGAAATCTTACCTCCCATATTTCCTTATTAGTGTGTTCTGATAAGGGGTCTAGATTGAATCTCACAGACCCACAAAAAAGAGTTGGATCTTGTGGAATGACCCCAAAGTGTGATCTAAGGTCATGAATTTTCTCCAGAGAAATTTTTAACCCAGAGAAAATTCTCAACCTAGAGAAAATTCAATTCAAATGAAAAAAAATAATCGAAATAGATATTCTGTGAGCTAAATTACCAAAGAAATTCTCAACCTAGAGAAATTTTGAATTTCTCTGACTTCGGAATGTGTTTTAATCAAATTTCTCTGACTTCGAAATTTATCAAATGTGTTTTCATAATGTGCTTTAACTCTCTCTGCTCCTATTATGTTTTTTCATTTACATCCAAAATCTCAAAAAATAAAGTAATGGTGTAATAAGAAGATTAAAGTGAATTATCAGATAATGGAATAACGAGAATGTCACCAGTATCAATAGCTACACTCCCTAACGAATTGACAGTCATAAGATCAGTAATAGAAGTGGAATACCTGGAGGCAATCCCAGCCATAATATCCAGGGATTGGACAACATAAGACATAAATGGCGGGCAATGAATTATCAGTCCCATTGAAACAAGTACAAGGAAGAGGAACAACAAGGGTCTGACCGATATCGAGCAGAGAAGGGTCGGAGATGGAATTGGCATCCTTAATCTGATCGACGGAGATGAGACCAGCGTAAATGGTGTCAACGATGGAAGAGAGAGTGTCGGAAGGGCGATGATGTATTTCAATTAATGCAGACCAGAATACGTAGCACTGGCAACAGGACCAGAGCAGAGCTTGCTGAGGAAGAGGTCGTAAAGGAGGGTGGAGGAACAGAGCTTGTTACCTTGGATCTGGAAGACAGTGGGTGAGAGGAGAAGAGAGAGAGAGTACAGTTGACACAATGAGTCAAATTTCTCTGATATATGTTTAAGGACCTTAGACATCAAAAAATAATTTTGTGGATCTTTTCCATTACGAAAAGTGGAAGAGGAACCCTAGACCAATTTTCCCTATATTATTTTAAATTCTTATTTTTTGTGCCAGACTATGAAGTACGAGTACGTATACAAATATTAATATTGGTACAATACGAGTACATAGATACAGTAAAATTCAAAAAAAAATAAAATACAGATACGGCTTATTATGCTTATAAAAAAATATTTATTTTTAATTTAGAATACTGTAAAAATTAATTAAATGGTTTAATTTGTTAAAATCCAATCTATAATTAACATTTATTTCCAAAGTAAGGTATAAATCAAAATTAAATGTCAATATATCAAATAACTTATAAACCATAGTTTAATTTTAAAATTATGTAAGCATACAACTAAAAAAAAAAAAAAAAAAGTCTAGTGAAATAAATTTTACCTCTGTAATAGAAGAAAATATTATTTCAATTGAAGAACGGTATGACTTGAGTATATACTAAATATGTCTGGTATGCCAAAAATTAAGAAAAAAATTTTAAATACTTGTTTCGTGTATCCAATACATACGTACCATATGCTTGGAAGTATTTGGTACAGGTACAACATGTTTTTCAAAGCATCCATGCTTCATAGGTGCCAGACAAACAAGGTATAATATAAAATAAATGACTTATTTTTACTTCTAAAAATAGAAAAATGCTAGAGCTGCATCAACTTAACAAACCATGCAGAACCATTTCCACGCATATAAAGTTCTAACTTCTACACACAATCTTCACTACTATTGCCACTTGTACTGTAACACATACTCATTCCTACTAGTCAAGAAAAAGTATAAACCATCCTCTCTCACCTTCCAAAAGCACTTGAAATTCTTAATACCACACCTTTCGCTACTCGTCTCTTTTGCTGTCAAACAAATCAAACTGGCCGTGCATACTTCCTGATGTCAGGTCACAGTAGTAAGCTTCATCTTTGCCGACGACTATGTTCACATTCCAGGTGAAATAACCCGCGTAAGGAATGCTTTTCGTGCCAAAGATCGTTGCCTGGTGATGACCAATGGGCAGTCAGTGTACCTGGGATTTCATAGAGGATGCTCACAATACCCCAAGCTAAGGTAAGCGACTCCACTGTTGAGCACTAGTACATGGTCAGTGCCAAGGCAAGCATAAGAATATAATTTTTTAGGCAACCCATGTTTTTTTGTTTTTTGGGGGCTGATGTTAGGGTAATGGTAGGGCAATGTAATGGTGTTTCATTTCTTTAAATAGGCGGGTAGTCTATGAAATCTCTGTAATTTAGGAATGAATACGGTAACCCTTCAACGTTTTTAGCTACTCATAAAATTGTGTATTTAAAGAAATGAGACATCAATACATTGCCCAAAGAAAAAAGAAAAACAAAAAACATGAGTTGTCTCAAAAATTAAACAAAAATGGTATCGTGACAATTTTCGATACTATCTGATGTGTCATTAATGAATTGCTGAAAAACATGAAATTCAGATAGCCACATAGGACAATGAGATCATCAAATATGGTTTGTATGTAATGAGGATAAATAAATGAGAGTAATGGTAGAGATCCCAAAAATTTTATCAAAATTTGTACCAAATGTCTCACATAAATGTAGAACTTACCTAGTGTAAGACATTTGGTGAAAATTTTGATAAAATTTTTGAGATCTCTAACATTTTTCAATAAATAATAGTTAAGGGAGGTTACTATATGCACAGTTTTATCTACAGTATTTCTAAATCTCTTTTATATGATAAGTTGATTCATGTTCTTCATAGCTCTCGATTTTACATGGTAAGGTTCCTTGATATGGGAGAGAGGACCATAGGTACAATCAATAATAATAATAAAACCCACAAATCTAGTACCATGCATATTTAATTTAATACATAAAAAAGCATATAATCATTTCATCTGTGAAAGGCCTTGTGGACACATCTAATTTTAACTATGGAGGTAAAGCAACTTTACAATTAATTACCAAAGTTTATAACCAACCAAATATTTTTCACATCCTTGCGAACTGATGACCTCATTGTTCTACCTTTCTCTCAAATAAAGGAAAAAAAGGGTGTTGTAGAAAGAGAAAATTGATAGAGAATCTGAAATGGGTACTTAGAGAGAAACCAAACACAGAGAGTCCAAGGACAAAAAAAAGAAAAAACTACATCCCCTTTTGTCTATTATTCCACTTTCCTCTGTGTGTGTGTTTTTTTTTCTCCTCTCAGTAGCATAGCGGAATAAAAAATATTGATCTGCAATGACAAAACCTTACTCAAGGTAATGGAGTAACGTTATCACCAAGGAATATATTTTTCATAGCTTGATGCAAAAATTAAGAGACTTCTAAATAAATTCTTTCTTGACAACACGATGACTTGATTTACAAGAACACTTCTCCCTTATCTCCCACAATATTCAAAGTTTACACCCAAAAAAAAAAAAAAAAAAAAGGAAAATTCACACTGCATGCAAAGCAGAAACTATGATATATGGACTCTTCAAAATAAATCAATTTACTCGTGTCGGACACTCGACATTTGGATAAAAATGTGCAATATGTGTTTGATACTTTCCTCGGACGCTTCTAATATATTTATATTTAACACTATCTTACATGTATATATTGTTATATAATTGTTATAAAATGCATTTTTGACATTGTATGTCACATATAGCATAATTTTATCTCACATGATAAATTAAAAATATAAAAATATAACCCTTTTTTGTTGAGTCCGCTGCTCATCCTTAAATTTGAGATTTGATGGGATCCACGTCTAAACCCTGCACCTGTACCTTAGTTCATGTAACATAGACCAAAAGCTTATCAAACACAAACAACTTCCAATTTCGACTAAATGCTCAAAATAGAGATTTTGAAATAGGCCATGCACTTGGCCAAATAAAAGGAACAGGCAGTAGGAGGCCATCAGTAATTGTGCCAGTGGCTACAAAAGTAATTTGTAGAAGAAAGGCTGTTTGAATACCACATGAAAATGAAGCAGTCTGTGTTTCTAATTTCTAATTAATCCATGGTGGTTTCCTTTATTTTTATTTTTTTTCTCTAAACAGGCGAATTCTTTCTCCCTAGCATTATTTGAGAAAATGCCGATATAGGGATTCTATGTTCTTTTCCATGTCTGCACAGAGAGCTAGGGGACTATGGTAATGGCTAATTCTTCTACAACCAATGTGGGTATGTTCAAATGCAATACAAAACACAATGAACAGTATATTCCAGTACAAATCCATTAGTGTTACTGTTAATGAAAACCAGAAATATACTCGTACCTTTATATATACCAGTTTTCAGTTGTTCAGCATATTTGAATGTTCTCCAGTATGGGCTGAAAACAGTGATTAGCTGGTACCAGCTAGGCCAACTAAATGGCCAATCTCATCTTCAAGGTGTGAAAAGTGAATCAAGAACTTGTCATGAAGCTCAGAGCAGTCAAAATGATTTTGCTGCAAATGAGGAAGAGCATCACAAATAATTTTCAAACCGCTCTGCAGCAATTCCACCCCTTGGTTAATTCCATCAGGAAGTTTCCGTCTTTTATTGGCTTGGTTTTCAACGTCAATCTCCATGGTTTCATTTTCTATAACACCCAGATCAATAGTTTGACATTTCCGAATCATTTCTTTTAGCTTCAGACCTTCCTTTACAAGCAATTGAAGTTGATCAGTGCTAGGTATCACTGTAAGAAGAGCCATTTCCTTCTCCAGAAATGTCTTCAACTCAGACATAAATCTCTCTTCGTTTGCCTCATTCCCTGACTCTAAATCAAATGAAAGAGCTGCATTTTGTGGCACAAATCTCCAGAGCTGAACGCAAGAAGTACGGGCGGCGAAATATCCAAAGGCTGTGATTGCCAAATGAACAAATGCCCAGTGCTGCTCTCTGAATAAAATGTGGTACAACTCCCATACAGCTGAGCTCTTTGTACTATTATCATTCTCTGCCAATTCAATATGACCAAGGCCAGCCATGAAAGTGGCAAGGCTTGGTTTGCATTGATACAGTCGAGTATCTGAGACCACAGGCCCAGAGATAAAAAGATTACGAAGCTCCAAAATGACTTCTTCCATCCCGTCTGATGCATATAGATGCTTCACATTTGAGATGATTCCTAGAGTTTCACTCAGAAGCTTACGATAATGGTCTTTCATTACGTTATCCACTGTATTTCCATAGCTACGAATAACAACAACTAGAAATCTCAGGGTCTTCATGTCAATATCAGATATGCTGTCCTGACTAGAAAACATATGAGAAGGCCCTCTGTTAAAATTGTTACTATGGGGAGAGCAGTGACAAATTTACTAAGAAATGTTTAAAATGGGAATAATATGAGGCCTTTGATGGTTTACAAGCTAAGATTTATGACTAACTCAGCAAGAATTTTGAGAAAATAACTGGAGCAAAAAGAAAAATGAAAAAAAATGTTGACATGTTTGAGCATGGGAGATAAGATGGAAAATCAGTTGTGAAATGGTGTCTTGCAAATAACCATTGAATTTTGCATGCCAATAGTTGTCATTCTTAGTATCTCAACAAATTATTGCTCATTACAGACTGAATAATTTAATGTCAGTTACTGGCATTCAATTTAAGACCTATCCTTAAACATGATTATTTAGTCATCATTGATTCCACGGAGTCGATTTTTACTTTTACATGTAAAAGTTCATCGGTCATATGTAAAGGAATTCATTACTTACAGAGACCGCAGGGAAGCAGACAGAGCAAACACTGGTGCACCAAACACACCAGAACCACACCCTCTAATTGATACATCATCAAAGCTCTCCATGAACTCGAAGTATTCAATTAAAATTCTTTTTGTAGCAATACTTTTCATTCTATCAGAAAGCAAATTTAGCGGGAATCCTTCCATGAGCAACGCTACAAACAGAATGGATGACGACTGAGATCTGTTACTGCCAACAATTTCACTGTAGACTTGATCTACTGTAGATTGTGAAACATATGTGAGAAGCATGCAAATTGATCTTGCGATTTTTCGTAGAGCACTACCAGGAATCAGAACCGATTCTGAAGATGCCACAGACCTCAATAGTAAGCAAAGTTTATCAATAATGGCATTCACCATTTCTACCTCAGCATGCCGCACCATAAAGCACCAAAGATCCATAACAATCTCCCAGCAAAGGAAGTGAGGATGGAAGAAATTTTCGAGAAGGAAAGTCTCCATTTCCCTCCAAGCTAAACTTGAAGAGACGACAATCATGAAGGTTTTCAGTGCATGCAGAATAGAAAAGAACATAGGTTGATAAGCTAGCTCTGGAGTTTTACCAGAACCACATAGTATAGGAATTTGCAAAATAAGACACCAAGAATACACCTCTTCATCGGCTAAAATATTTAGAAGCCACCCAAGCTTTCTAGTGATCCCAAGTCTTACATCATCTTCAAGATCAGGAGCAGTTTTCAGAAGATTAAGAAATAAGGCAATCCGACCAAGCAATAATACTTTTTCCCCATGCATATTGTCACTACTTATAGAGAAGATAGCATCCATCTTAGAAGTTCTATGGATATTACTTGGATCTCCAGGGATAAAATTTGAATCATCTTCATCATGGAACAACCAGTCCAGAATTTGGAACTTGTCCTCTTGTTTCAGTTGAGCTGAATTTAATAAAGAGTTCAGTAAATGGAAGGATGCAGGTTCCAAGAGATCTGCCAATACTTCACTCGCAGATTTCAAAAGTTCTTCTTTACTCAATAAGATTCTAAACGTGGAGATCATCAAGACACAGAGTGTTATATCTTTGAATGCTGAAAATGCCTGGCATGGGTATTGGGAGGATATTCTTACTGCATTAATCAGATAAAATTTTACAGGAAGGAATATCCTTTTTGCTTCTTGCACAGAAACTGTTTCTGTTAGCAAAGAAGACCAAGTTTCAGCTGCACATCTCAAAGATTCATTGGCCAGTGAAATTAGAGTCAGAATAATGTTTGCCACATCCAATTTTATGGCTAAAGCCCCCTTCCCAAGCTGAAGCAGTGTTACCACACCTTTCCATGACAAATTAAGCACACTCACTAGACTCCCACCATCATTAGCTGCTAGGACTCCCAATTCACACAATTGTTTTACAGTGCATTTTGCTATGCTGATAACATGATTCGCTTTATCAGCCTCTTCACAATCTGAGCCATTTTTATCTTTCTCAGTTCTTGCATCAAGGAAATCCCAGTTTACAGCATTGGAATACACCCTGCATAGACGTATGACAGCATCAAGGACCTGCTGTCCCACTTTCAGTACTTCCGAACCAAATTCATGAATTCTCTGTTTAATAATGACAAAGGAGCATGGTTAGCGAGTGATGACAAGTGCCAATTATATTGTCGGATCAATAATGAAGAGTCTAGACAGGATAGCCTCTTTCACACTTAAATCTAAAATTATACATCTAACTTCAGATAAGTGCTAGGTTGTATGCCCAAAGATTCGACAAATGTTAATCTGTTTCTAGCTGTATAAGATTATATCTAGAACAAATTAGAATGCAATAATTGTAAAAATCCTTATAGTTTCAGTCAACTGAAAACTCTGCAAATATCGAGACTTAAATAGAGCCTTTAAAATGAATACTATCTCCACCAACTTGAACTGACATCATATAAATATTACAAGATAGCTCAGAATCCATTTCAGACATTTACACATACATATATCCATACATACAAACATACATAGATATATTGTCATATACCATACCCATAAATATGTATGTGTGTCTATAGATCTACTCACACTAGAGATATACTCCCACATTACAGATACAAACTTGTTTATAATATTACAAAAAAATTGCAGTTACAGCTCAAAGTGCACAACTGCAAATAAACATGAATAAGCAATAAACTCCTTCAATATACCTTTTAATGGACTTACCTTTGTTCCACCTGGTACATAGTCTTGGGTAGAACTCAACACTATTGAGGTGAGGGTGCCCTCACGGTTATATACTTCGAATTACTTTAGTACATAGGTGATGAAGGACTTCGCTTCACGTCCTCCCTCACACCCAATGTGCTCACTCGGCAACACATGCGGTGTGCAGGCCATGGATACACACCCTAACCATCCTTGGTACTCCGGTTCTAATACCATGTTATATAGTCTTGGGTAGAACTCAACCTCAAAAGTTAGTTATTGAGGTAAGGGTGCCCTCACAGTTACATGCTTCCAATTACTTTAGTACCTAGATGATGTGAGACTTCGCTTCACACTACCTCAGCCAAACTAGGTTTAATATGCTCTTATATAGTTGAATATAAGCATCTCGGCAGGTAGTAAACTGAGCAGAGCCAACCCAAGGTAGCTAGTACATCCAGAAATATCTCAGTTGGGATTTGTCAGTTCTTAGCTCAAATTAGAGTTTAGGACCGAAGTTCGATGCGTGAAGTTGATGAAACAAGCAATATATTCAGGGTTTGGGTATTAGAAAAATAACTGGATATCATGTTATAACAAAACAACAGCATTTGCTTCTTTTATTTGGACAGTGATCGCATCCCCACTCTTTTTCATTCAATTTGGAATATATTCTTTTATCCGAACGATATGAACCTCATGCTCAGGTTGTTAGTTATACTTCGGTAAGCTGAAGCTGAACATGCTTCTCTACGCTCTGTAGAAACTTCAGCTGAGCCTGAACATGATCTTAGACTAGTGAGTTTGATGAGCCAATCTTAAATGGCCCAGAGTTCAGCTTGGCTTGGCTGGTTCTCTTAACACTAGCTTTTTAAACTCGAAGTTGCACAATTCACAAAAAACTTATGAAGCACAGGTACAGGTACGGATACGGGTATGCTGATACGGTAAAATCCAAAAAAAATAAGATACGCCGATACGGTAAAATCCAAATATTTATTTTTAATTTGGAGTAATGCAAACATTGATTAAATAGTTTGATTTGTTAAGATCCAACCTACAATTAACATTTAATGCCGAAAATAAAAGTATAAACCAAAATTAAATGTCATTATATTAAATAACTTGCAAACCATAACTTAATTTTAAAATCATACAAGTATAAAACTAAAAATAAAAAGAATTCTAGTGAAAGGAATTTTATCTCTGTAGTAGAAGAAAACATTATTTCAACTGAGATACGATATGTCAAAAATTAAAAAAAAAAATTTGGATACATGTTTTGTGTACCCGGTATGTATGTAGAAATACCATACAAAGAATCAAACACCAGTAAGTACCCAATACGAGTATGACATGTTTGTGGAAGTACCCATACTTCACACTAACTCATTAGGTCATGAAGCAAACTGTAAACTATTTACACCACACCATTTACACACAAAAAACTTATGAAGCATAGGTACGGGTACAAGTACTGGTACTAGTACGATACGAGTACGCCGATATGGTAAAATTTAAAAAAGTGGGATATGGATACGGATACGCTTGGTACATTTATAAAAAAAATATTTATTTTTAATTTGAAGTAATGCAAAAATTGATTAAATTGTTCGATTTGTTAAGATCCAACCTACAATTAACATTTAGTGCCGAAAATAAACGTATAAACCAAAATTAAATGCCATTATATTAAACAACTTGCAGACTATAGCTTAATTTATTATTATTATTATTTTTTTTGATAAATAGACTATAGCTTAGTTTTAAGATCATACTAAGTATAAAATTAAAAATAAAAAAGAATTCTAGCGAAAGGAATTTTATCCCTATAATAGAAGAAAATATTGCTTCGACTGAGGTACGATACGACTTGGATATATATTAGGTATGTCTGGATACGTCAAAAATTAAAAAGAAAAATTTGGGTACATGTTTCATGTATCCGGTACATATGCAGAAATACCATATAAAATACCATACGCCGGTAAGTATCTGGCACGGGTATGGCATGTTTGTGGAAGTACCCATGCTTCATACTAACTCATTAGGTCATGAAGCAAACTGTAAACTTTTTACACCATACCATTTACACAAAATTTAGATGTGAAGAAGGGTTGCCTTATTTCTAAAACAATTGTATGGAACTTACTAATTTGTGACTTCATATGTGATTAACTAATCCCAAGGGGTTGGCTTGGTGGTTAAGGCTTGGGACTTGGGGGTGTGTTCCCTCAAAGATTTTAAGTTCAAAACTTCCTCTGTGCAAACAATTTCTTAGGGCCAGTCTATACAGGACTTATGCCCGGACTTTAATTGGGGTCGTCACAAGGGGATGGTCGGATTGGTCCTCCGGATTCGTCGGTCCAATGGGCCGGATACCAAGTTATCAAAATATATATATACATATACGTGATTAACCAAAATAAGGATGAAATTAATGGTTGCCTTATTGCTAACAACAGTTTTATGGAACTCATTGTAATTTCATACATGATTTACCTCAAATTGATTTGCTGGATAAAACAATATATTATAGATAGCTCTCTTAAGTGAAGGCTACATCATAACTGGCAGAGCAAACATAAATAAAACATTCAATACCTTGATTTCTGATATTGAACTATTTGTCAGATTTAACAGTTCAAATGTGAATTTCTCAACTGTAACCATCAACTCCTTGTCGTCTAAAACAGGATATCTTGCTAAAGCTGAAAAACTAGCAGCAGTGTACCTCAACAGATCCACAAGCAACTGCAAAAGAAAAATTCACAGTTGTCAGGGAAATATTGCTTTAAGACAGTTGGCATGCTTTGGTGCAGAGAATTTAATGCCACGTCTTGTAGAGTTTCAGAAATCAAAGCAAAAATGCAGAGACTACTGCAAGAAGAAAAGTTGCACCATAACAAATATTTCAAACACAAGAATTGTGGCAACTGGAAAGAGTACCAAAGAGATAATTAACAGAAAAGAAGACTCGAAAGGCACAATAAGTATCTTAAATAAATGTTAATCTAAAACAGATTCAGATGAAAGAAAGTTTTTTTTTTTTGCCCCTCACAGGATACAGTTTTGATTCCTCTAATAAAAATATTTTGATGATTTTTAACAGTACAGAGTTTAATTTGATACAAGACTTTTAATTAAAGGTTATGATATATGCAGAAGCATTTTCAGAAAATGTCCCAATCCACCAAAACAAGTCGCGACTTGCCATCCTCTGTGAACAGGTGTGACATAACAGCCTTAAGAAATTCAACATCCAGTTTGACTATGGTCAAATCAATACTTATCAATAATGCAAGGAAACTCAAAAGTAAAGAAAAAATAAAAATGACACATCATTGTAGGGTCCAAACCTACAAGTCTCAAAGTTCTGAGAAGACCTTGGCAAATATTCTGGAAAAATTATTTTAAAGCCTTTACAAAACTGATTAACTATGTTAGTAGTTTTTTATTAAAAAAAAACTCAACCTTCTAATTCTAAACCTTCCTCCAGCATTTGGATTACAATTCAATTGCAGTAAAATCTAGATGTCGGTTAAATCAGCATTTATGTAATCAGCACAATGCAAGTCCATGTTCTCACAAATGAAACATACTAAGGGTTTTTTTATTCCAATACTAGGTTCTTCCTACAGCTAGCAAGTTTCTACAAGCTGCATAATTTTGTTTTCAAATAAGAATTCTGAAAAACAATGTTGATACTTCTCTTTGCACAATCCTGTAAAACGACTTCATAACTCAAGAAAAGTCCCACTTAAGAAAATTCATTAGGTAATTAATTTACATCACATATCATTTACCTGGAAAAAGAGATTGCAATGTTCTTCTTGAGACTCCTCAGTCGACATAAGTGTCATCTTCAAATGCTTTCCACACCATATGCTTGCCTAAAAGTAAGACTCAAGATATTCACCAACACATATTTCTAATAACTTCAAGAAACTGAAATATAGCATCTGTTACAGAAGTACAGATAACCTAATGAAGTAGACGGAGGATAGAAATGAAATGTACCTTGATACCAAGAGAAATAAAGTGCCGTAGACATCCTGATATGTCTAACTCAAGATATTTTGCAGCTACATGCAAAATAGTTTTATTTAACATGCACTGGGAAATGTCCAAGCATGTGAAGTCTTCCCAGAAAATCTAGTCAGCTGTTAAGGTAAGAACTGTGACAAAAAATATAGAACACTCAAACAGTGTGCAGGAATATTACACACTGAAAAATGATAACTTCCTCTTTGACAATTAATGTGGGTGATTATACAATAAAGGAGTTCAATGTGCAAGGCTTTGTTGCCACAGATCACAGCATCATCTAGTCATTTATCACACTAAAGAATGTGTACCACAAGCACATGCATCTTTGTTCCAATCATTAAGAGATCAGCACATGACAAACTAGTTCTAATCTGAAGCTTTCTTTTATCTAATAGAATAGGACTATAAGAAAAGATCTTTGGACTGATAGAAAGAACAAAACAAATTATTTCCCATTTACATCCGCCCTTTGTGCCACATCACTTGCCTTTTTTTCTTCTTTTCCACTAATTCATCTTCATCTCATTGTTTATCAAAAAAGGAATAATAATAATAAGGGGAAGATATAAGAAGCCATGAGTCAGCATTCTAAATTTAGAGAGAAAACGATGAGTACAAGGAGACCAACTCCCCTTCCCCCAACACAAGTGCACAGGCATGCCCGAAGAAAAATAAAAAAGTACATCATTTTTTGGAGACAAATTAAATTGCCAAATTGCTAAAGTTTAAACATTTTGTGATGACACAGGTTTGAGACAGTTAGATTAGAAAAATAAGGAGAGATCTGAGGTGGACAGGGTGAGAGTTGATGTGGTAATAGGGGGTAGAGATAGTAGGAGTAGTGGAGAACTAAAGGTGGTGAACAAAAGTGTTCAAGTTGCCGAATGAGGAGGTTTTCTATAAATACGAGGGTCAGAACATGAGTGCCACTTGATCGCTCTAACTGAGCCGCATTCCCTTGAAGGTCCAGCATATACGTCACAAGGAAGCATTCAGGCACCCCCTTACGCCCAACCTCGAGAGGATCCATAGGCCCTACTCTTGATCTAGGCTAGCGTGAGCGGATTAAGGTACCAGTGGAGACAAGGGATTGAGGCATAGGAGAAGCATGCTTAGGTAGAGTATCAATTGGCAAAGCCAAGGGTACCTAGCTTGTCACTGTAAGCAAAAGAGGTGACACACTTAAGTGACGATTTGCTTGGTCGATCCTGATTTTCCCAATTTCCTTGAGGCTTAACCAAAGAACAACTCTTTACCTCTCTTTTGAGGGACAACATACAAAGAGAAAAATTGAACAACCTATGCATAAAACATGAAATATAAGAAACTTCATTTTTCAAAACTAAAAGTAACACCAAATCATTGCCACCAACAACAAAGGATGCCGATAAACTAGTTTAGAAACCAGTCCAACAGACTATCATGATTTCTCTAAGTCAAACCCCATTTTGGAATTTCACGAACAGGTCATCCGCATACTCTCACCAAAAAAAAAAAGAGGATAAGCAAAGACTCAAAAGAATATTACAGTCACAAATCAGTTTAAAAGTGACAAGCAAAATCTTTCTCAGTAAGTAAATCAACATGTTTTTGCAAGTCAGAAATTTCCCGTTTTCAGATTGTTATAGACCCAATCTTGAAAAATCAATAATATTCAAATCAATTTCAAGGCAAGGACTAGACACAATAACAACGAAGTCACTTGGGAATGCCTATAAGAAGTATCTTCACCCAATTCCACTATGACGACAGAATCTGTTGATATACAAGACTGGAATTTTTGCTATACAATAAGCCACTGTAATTTCTCCCATGCTTACAACCAAATTCTGGACACTACCCATTTTAACCATAACAATCACGCAAGACACAAACTCAACTATATTTCAGATTTATATAAAAAAGAATGAATGAAATGAAAAACAATTGCAAAACAAAGTTGGCTGGATACTATTAGGGATTCAATAAGAGAACCCAATTCAGATTTCTCAGATATCCCCAACTCCTCGAGTTTGATAAGAAGTTGAACGCGGCTCTCAACAACCTGTAAGATAAAAAGTTTTATGTATCACAAATGTTATACCATTCACCATAGACTACAAGATCGACTGTAAAAACTTCAGTACCCAGTAACATTTGTTAAATTCCCCATCAAAGTCCAAATTGATGAAGTCTGATGGACATAAAGACAACAAAAGAAGTACATAGGAAAACCGGAATAAAATTAATATGACTACAGAAAGTATTTAAAACAGATTATGAAATGAAGGAATTGTAGATTAGTGAGCACAAATTTAATAGATAAGTACAAAGTGGCCATTAGAGTTTACTACTATAGCACTACTACACTCAAAAGGCAAGGATAGCATTCTCTAAAAATAAGAAGTGTCCACAAAAGCTGAAATTTATTATCTGTAGACAAAATTTGGTAATTAAGACGACAAAAAAATACAGCGCAGTTTTACTTCATGAAATATATCAACCCTAAGAACAAATTATGAAATATTTGAACCCGAAGAAGAAAGGAGGTTATCGTCAGTTTGTACTGTACTGCATTTAGATGAGTCCATACTACAAAAGGTCAAAATGACTAATAGTATTTTATCACACATTGCCATCGCGCTTCCTGAAGAAAAAAGGGGGGGGGGTGTTTATTGACAAAATCTGCATGGTTGGCATGAAAGTATGCATAAACCGAGTAAACACCTTTTCAGAGGTTGTTTGGAAAAACTTTGCAACTTAAAAAAATCTAGCTTAAGAAAAACATCTAAACCCAACTTCATAAAAGTTAACTTTTTGAGCTTGTTTTGAGCTAGAAAAATAAATAAAAAGTTTTATCAAACAAAATTTTCAAGGTACAACTGCTTAAGCATGGAAGTTCAAATTAATTTTTTGTAAAAATGACTCTCATTGCAACTATCGAATTAAACAAAAGCTTGATGAATTAGAAACAATGAAGCTGCTTGAATTAATTCCTTGAAAACCCTAACATAGTAGTAATCATAACTCCATTAATGCATACGGATTGCCGGGATTTCGATGAATCGATCCGTAAGTGAAACGATAGTTCAATTTCTGTGTTAATTTAGTGCAATTAAATCTACTAAATACTTGTGTGTTTGTGTAAGCTACAACAAAAGAGCTAATCAAAGTGATTAAGAAATGAAAGAACAATTAAGAGTGGAAAAGAAGCTTACATCTGAAGATGTAATTGCTTCCAGCAAGCTATGCAAGTCGTCGTTACTCGACCTCTCTCTCACCATCTCTCTCTCTGTTTTTCGCTCGCTGTTTCTCTCTCTTCGTTTTCCCGCCTTTAACAGGCGAAAAGGAGAAGAACTATTTATAGTAGGGCTTGGACTGTCTTTCGCTGGGGACGGTTCAGTCCGGCTCATTTTGAGCCCATCTCGACGGTCCATGTATGAATCGTCGAGTATTTTATTTTTATGAAAAAATTGTATTGATCGGATATTAATAATTACTTGATAAAATTATATTTGTATGAATATTTTATTTTTGAAATCATAATTACCGTTAATACAAATTTGATCAGATTAAGTTACTATCTATATTCAATCAACGTAATTTTTTGTAAGAACGAAATACTCAACGAGTTCTACACATTCAACAGTTTGAATTATTGATGTGAGTCTAATGATGAAATCATAAAAATCCAACAATACTCTCCAATTTGATATTGGACCGGAGACTTGGACCGTCTCCAATTGACCTTATAATACTTGGTTAAATTTGTGGCTAAATTACACTAACTTCTCTTGAGTTTGAAGAAATATAGTGAGTCTCATGGATGTAGCATAATTATATTATGTTCTACAATATGTGAATGCATATTACTTTACTCTCCAACATTAGTCACTGCTTGTTGTAGGAGTTGGCAAGCATTCACTAAAAATCCGTCAAAATTGAATGATCCAAACCAATCTGTCATTGAGTAGATAGTTTCAATAATCCGAGTGAACGGATACATATGCATTTTTTTTCAATATATCAAAGTTAATACTTGGTTAAATTTGTGGCTAAATTACACTAACTTCTCTTGAGTTTGAAGAAATATAGTGAGTCTTATGGATGTAGCATAATTATATTATGTTCTACAATATGTGAATGCATATTACTTTACTCTCCAACATTAGTCACTGCTTGTTGTAGGAGTCGGCAAGCATTCACTAAAAATCCGTCAAAATTGAATGATCCAAACCAATCTGTCATAGAATAGATAGTTTCAATAATCCGAGTGAACGGATACATATGCATTTTTTTCAATATATCTAAGTTTGGACGAATAGTGGATGAGAGGCTACCCTGCCCAATTCAATCCGCTAATACTTTTAAAAAAAATGAAATTATGTTTTGTTTGTTAAAAAAAAAAAACATTTTATTTATAATTATGTTTGATGTTTATAAAATATGATAGTTGAGCCTTTAATTTTATTATAAAAAATAAAGAATCAAAACTTTTGGACACAAAATAGTAAAGAATTATTGAGGTTAGGAGAAGTTAAAGGTTGAAGACGTGAGAAAATACAGCAATGTAAAAATAAAGATGAAGATGTAGGAGGTTATGGGATAGGGGTACTGCTCTGCCTCAAGGTACAATAGTTACTGTTGCTTTCTTGTGGGAGATTTTTCTAAGTATTTTTCGATAATCTGAACCGTTTTTATTGTAGGGTTCGTTAAGAATATTATTCATATAAAAAATCAAGTTAATCGGATATTCATAATCCCATGATCAAGTCCTAATTGTTTTAAAAAATTTATGAAAGTTATGTTAACTTTTTATAAAAACAAATGTGCTTTGATTATAGTGCTACAGATATCCAATCAACTTGATTTTTAGCATAGATGATTTACTCGACGAGCCCTACAATATGAACGGTTCAGATTATCAAAAAACATTTGAGACAATCTCCTACAAGACAACAGCAATAATTATTGTGCCTTGGACACAACAGTATTCCCCACTCAGTAATTATTTGGGTGGTAGTTAGTGGTAGTTTTTTTCTTATAAACTGCCATTCATGGCTATATTATAGTGGTCTCCGACAAATCAAATACATGATTTGATTTTCATTTTTTTATTTTATTTTAGGGGTAATTTAACTTAGATAAGAGTAATTTTAGGCTAAGTTTGACAAGTTGAAAATAAGTTAAGGAGTAAAAAAATTACTCAAAAAGTTTAAAAGTTATCACTATTCACCAAAAGTCCAAAATTACGGCTGCACAACTCCCAATTTTAATTTTTCCCTATACACCTACACACTAATTTACACAATTTTTTAATACACATTTTTCCATAAAAATTCAAAAAGTTCACCCAAAGAACCATATTTTTTTCTTCAACTTTTTAGTCCAAAAAGTGCACTTATTTAGGACATCCCAAACAACCCCTTAATATACTTTACTTATAATTTGATTGTTTATTTAATTAATTTACATTATCATCTTTTTTTTCTCTCTCTCTCTGTTTTTAATGGTTAATTTTTTTTTTACATTTGGTAAATTTGAAAGTTTTTAAATCTTTCAAGACATTGAACATCACTACAATCGTCTAATCATCATGTTGTTTGGTGAAATTTAAATTAAATCTTTGTCAATGTAAGCATGACAGAAAATTTTAAGATAAATTGTCAATATGTCATAATAGTTAGACTTAATTTCTATTAAATTCTATTGAAAATAAGTCATAGTAAAATTGTCATTAAAAAAAAAATTGTGACGATTTTTTACATGTCTCTAAAAATTGACAATTAGTGACTTTTTTTGTTACGATTTTTATAAATTATCGCTAAAACTTATAATTAGTAATGTTTTTCTGTGATGAATTTTTTAAACTGTCACTGAAAGTTAAAAATTAATGACGTTATTTGTGACGATTTTTTTAAGTGTCGCTAAAATTTATAATTAGTGACATTTTTTTTTGTTAAAATTTTTAAACTGTTATTAAAAATTAACAATTAATGATATTTTTATAATAATATTTGATAAAAAATATTATTAACTATTATAAATTTTATTAAATAATAAACCCACACTTATAAATAAATCTCCCAATGGGAAATTTATTTACAGTGTTCAGTGCGTCAAATCTCCACTAGAATATATATATATATATATATATTCCAAAATTGTAGGAATTTCATTGAAATGTAAAAAAAAAAAAAACGTACGGAAACAAAAGGGCATCCATCATCCCTTAACACAGAAAGTAACCAACCAGGAGGTGTTGTGTTTCACCCACAACAACCGTTCTCACTACAAGCATGACTTGCCAAATCATGCGCTCCACTAGAATGAAAGACCAAATCATATCTTATATTCTTTGCTTATAATAATTGTTAATGCTTGAGTAATTTAATATTAAGGCTTGTTTTGAGAAGATGGTAAAAAATAGTTTTTTGGCTTTTAACCAAGCTTTTGGCTTTTTTAGACAAATGATTTGGGAAGTTGGTAAAAAGTGACTTTTGACTTTTTTGGTTAATATTTGTTTATGATGTCAAATCATAATAAAATGACTAAACTACCCCCATTTATTTAAAATATTTACAACTGAACCTATGTAACACATTGTGACCCATGAGGGGTAAAATTGTAATTTTACCGTTGGCTAAAAACCAACTTGCCAAATGAAAAAAAAGCCAAAAAAGCCAACTTTTGGCTTTTGCTACTAACCAAAAAAAGTGGCTTTTAGCCAAGTTCCCAAAATAGCCCTAAATATTACTGTTTACCGATGTGAGAGAATCAATGATATCAGTGTGGTTGCATTTTATTAGTGTCTCGATAGTGAATCCCTTTCTATGGGTTAAATTCAATCAGACTGATAATTGATTATTCTGGAATATGAACCCATGGATACAATGATAACACATCAGTACATCCTTTTTCAAACTCCAACGGTATGAACACACACAAAAAAAAAAAAAATGAAATCAGTGCAATTTATTTTTAGGTTAATTACACAAAAACCCATCAACTATTAATAAGTATTACTTTGACTGTCTTATTTATGAATTTATACACATTAACCCTCTCAATTATAAAAATATTGCAAATACATCGCTTTTAAATATCACTTTGATACATTTTTATAGTTGAGGATATCAAAATATACAAGTTAATAGATAAGATGGTCAAAGTAATATTTTTTTAATAATTAAGGGGTCTTGATGTAATTAATTTTTTTAATAAAATCAATGTAATTTATGCAATATATAAATTGAACGGTGGTGCTACATGCACCAATTAGTATACACACTAGTGTTATGACATTATTATGACCACATTTATTATACAAGTTATAAATACCCAAAATTATATAAATGATGTCACATCATTTCTTAATACACTAATGTGCACATTAATTAATACATATAGTATTATTCTAAATCGAACAAAGAGTGTAAATTTTTTATTTTTTTTTTAAAGATTGATATAACAGTTCTGTTTTGTAGCTCGAATTTTCGGTGGCTTGAGCGGCCTGAAATCCCAAAACGACTTAAATTCTGAGATTGTGAATCCCCCGGATTATTTGGTTGGATTGGATGTGTATCCTGTATTTGTTTTCTCATAGAATTAGATGTCTGGAAATGACTATTTTTAGTGAATCCAATGTTTGGTTGGACAGACTGGATAATGATAAATGTTCAGAAGACTATTTTACCCTTGTAATTTATAATTTATATTTTTTATTTAATATGTAATTTTAAATTTGTAATCTATAATTTATAATTAACGAGACTAATTACAATAAGCAATATTAAATTAATTAATTACAACAACGATCATAATGTAAGCGACGATGCGCAAGGATTGCATACATGTACATGCACAATGTTCGAGAACAACTCTGTCTGCCCCAGGCTTGCTCTGTTTCACCTCAGCTACTGCTCTCTATTTTTTGCAAAAATACACTGCTGACCAAACTTTGAGGGCCGATCAGCCCTCAATGAAGCCTGGCCGAGCATAGAAAAGGCCGGTCATGCCTCAGTTTTGTGCAAAAACTTTGTTTTGTGTTCTGAAGTGAAAACAGTGTAGACAGAGTTATTCAAGCTCTGTTTGTCCCTTTCTTCCTTCTTTGTCATGGGAAAGCCTCGAGAGAAGATTAGAATTGCTTCCAAAGCCATCAATGAACGAATTGATTGCTTGATGATTTCAGATACACTTTTGGACAAAAATCAATGAATGTAATGAATATGACCACTCCTTCCTCTTATCATGGAGTGAACTCAAAGAGGGAGGTAGAGACGCTTCAAGAATCATCAAAAAGCCATGAATTAGAACATGATCACTCTTTA